TTCAGAACTAATTCAAAAATTGATGAAAAGCGAAGCCTTAGCTGATGTACAAGAAGTCATCGAGAAGCTGTTCAGTGATTTAGGAAAAGTGAATAAAGAAAGTATAAATGAGAATGAGAAGACCCAGGTACAGACATACGAAGGGTTGATAAAGCTTTTTAATGAGGCTGGAAAATAATTAACCAATTGCTGATTGAATCATTTTGCTTTTCTTCATCATCCTATTTTACTTCAGTTCCTTTCAGGGTGCCTTAAAATCAATTAATAATAATAATAATAATCACGATTTGCACATGTTAGCTCATCAGTGATATTTAAATCCCTGGTCAATGGGAACACGAGTGAAGCCTTAAAATATTTCAAAATATTTACTGTATACAATTATGACCAGAGCATAAACATCAGCAGCATTAAAACACATTTGAAAGGTGTAAATCACCTGTGGTTTGTTTGTTTTTTTTAATTCCTTATGTGAAGGAGTATGTTTTTGAGCCAAAATTTGGATCCAAGTGTATTCAAAAGGCATGTCTCCCCCATCACAATTTGCAAGTACTTAGGCTGCTGCCACACTGCAGAAATAAAGCAGTTTGACACCACTTTTGCCACCATTACTCAATACAATGGAATTCTGGAATTTGTAGTTTTGTGAGATATTTAACCTTCCCTGTCAGAGAGCTCTGGTGCCACAACAAACTACAAATCCCAGAATTCGATAGCAATGAGCCATCAAAGTTAAAAGTGGATTCAAACTGCTTTATTGCTGCAGTGTAGCTAAAATGTCCTACTTTCACTGTATTTATTATACAATTGAGAGTTGTTTTGTCTTTTGTTAATTTCTTGTACAGATTTTTTGGGGGAAATAACTTTTCTTTCCCCGCAGATTGAAGAAAGTATAGTCAATTTATGGAACTGGACTGTAGCCAGAAAAGCTGGCCCTGTGATCAGTGATCTGCAAAAAGTAAAGCGTACGTTTGAGTTTTCTGTCATCAGCTAAAATGCTTTGATTTACTGAAAATAACAAAATGTGTTTGTTTTTCCCCCCTGCTTTGTTGCTTTGAAATGTGCATAAGCTTTCATGGATGTTAATTGCTTTTTTATTTTATTTTTAATCTTCTTTATTACATTTCATAATAAAAATCATTTATTACAAACGTACATACTACAAACTACAATCATACATTCTTTACATTCAATACGTACAACTGAAAAAATTAAAATGACTTCATAATAACTACTTTCTGAATATAATCTCTATCGTTTCTGCCTTTTACTTCCTTTTCCTTATTTTCTCGTGCTCTTCTTATCTATCTGCTACTACATATTATTATCATGTTTTACCTTCCATTTAACATTTATTCCTCTATTTTTCCATTAATTTTTCCTTTATATCTCTTAGTCCTGTTTCTTCCTTATTTATTGATGGTATCTAGACTGTTCTTTTTATTTCTCATTATTCAAAAGTAGCTAAATCTCTTCTACTGTCTGTGACCGTTCTTCCTCAAATTTCTTTACTGGTTTATTTTTAATCAAATAAGTCAATTTATCCATTTCTATATAATATAACACTTTCCAATGCCACTCTATTATCTCAGGGGGATTTTCTTCTTTCCATCTTTTTGCAAAGATCACCCTAGCAGTTATAATTAGATAAAAAAAGAATTTTCCCAAATGGACGGTCAATTTAAAATGCCCAATAGATACATTTTGGGTTCCTTCCTAAATTTTATTTTTGAAATCTTAATTGCTTTTTTAAAAACAGAATATGTTTTTTGCAAAATAAAAGATACCCCATTTATGATGTTAGTACTGGGGTGGGTGGTTTTGCAGCTATAGAAGTGGCTATAGCATCCTGGAGTAGCTATAGGATGCTGAACATTTACACAAGCTGATAAAGCTGCAGAATAAACTGAATTAGGACAGGGTCAGCAGATACAAAGAGAGCGGCATGTTTCAATTGCAAGAGGATAGTTTGGCCTCCTTCGTGCTCAGCAATTATAATGCACACTTTCTAGTTCTTCTGCATCACAAATCCGTCTATTCATAACCTCTATATTTAGTTAGGAACTGGAGATCAATAATCCATTTCTAAGACTATGCAATGTTATCTTTTCATAGTGCGACATGTTGCCTGTAGAATGATGTTGGCTTGCGAAGTAAATGATCCGCCTGAGGAGATGACACGGAGGCAAATTCTGGTAATTGTAACTGTAGTTGTAATTGCTAACTGGCAATTGTAAATGTAACTTGATTTTCTGTGGTAGAATTCAAAGATATAGCTGTATTTTAGTCTGTAGAAGCAGTATGTAGAGAGATCTTGTAGTACCTTTGAGAGTTAACTGGAAGAAAGAAGTTGGCAGCATGAGCTCTTCTAGACTTAACTCTACTTCCTCAGATGCAATTGATTTTTTGTAGTTAGTTTCTGCTCCCCAGATGCTAGAAATCAGAAAGGGCTCCAAAATGGTATAAGAATTATGTCTTATACTATTAGGTTAAAATTTATGGTATTTATGATCCAACGGAAGTGAAGAAGGGAGCTGACTTTGATTCTTGTTTTGCACAAAGAAAGGTTTAATCATCTTTTTATGGGAATTTCCTCTTTGGAGGAGAAATATCTGTTAAATCAAGAAAGCTGTAAATATTTAATAGAAATACTAGCATTATTGCTCAAATGATGTACCAAAACAAGTCAGATTTTTAAAATTATTTTCCACAATTTAATTAAGAGATTAAGAATGGTTATATATGGTTCTATGCAAAATCAGATGATGTGATGAGTCACAGTAGGGACTGATTAAGAAATACAGACCTCACCTTTATTAGTATTTTTAATAAACAATGGTTAGTAAACTAGGTTTTATTAAGCCAACAGTTTTATGCCCATGTATTCCTTGTTGGTGCTCCATCTGCACTCCAGTTTCAGGGCTTCTATCATGCTTTGTTTAAACCACATTTTCCAGTTACAGTACATCCAGACCAGGAAACTAGTTTATTTTTGGTTTACTAACCAATAATCTGTGTTATGGATTTGTCTGGTGAGCAAACTGAGGTAAAATCATTGTTTGCTTGTTTAGAAATAACTGAAACCTGAAATTTATGTATATATTCGACTATAAGTCGACCTCACGTATAAGTCAAGGGCAGGTTTTGGGGCCAAAATTATGGATTTTGATATGGACCTTGGATAGCTCAAGGGTAAAACTTTGGGGCATGTAACAACGCAAAGTTTCCAGCAGAAAAGTAAAGGAAAACAGTGCCAAAGAACTTACAAAATTTCAACAGGCATAAGTGCTTGTGCTTAGACTAAAGGCTGGATGGATGGGAGAATAGAGGGGAGTCAGTGATTTCAGGACAGATTATGTTCTTGCCTT